AGGTATGGAAATCACAGCTCTGGCTCCTTCATTAATCCACAGGAACTAAGAGAGCCAGAATGATTTGCATATAAAGCCCCTGGTGCTCCTGCCTCATGTATCAAGGGCTGTTCTGAAGACATTATTCTTGTTTGTTTGTTTGTTTTGTTTTGTTGATGAATTTTTGGTTTATTTGACTTGGGTTTGCTTGTAATTTTTAAAATATTTTTTCTGCTTACAGCCAGTCAATATTACCATCATTACTTTGTACCAGGCTTTTTCTTTTGGGCCACCAACCAGCTCCCAAATCATTGAGACTTATTAGTTTGGAATGCTTGGCCTAGCTTAAGCTCATTACTGGCTAGCTCTTTAACTTAAATCAACCTGTTTCTCTTTATCTACCTTTTGCCTCTGGGCTTTTTACTTTTTCTTTCCTTCTATATATCTTACTTTCACTGCTTCTCATGTCTGCTGTCTGGCTACTGCCTAACTGGCTTCTTGCCCTTGGCGTCTCCCTCATTCTCTCCTCTCTTCTCTCCTTCCTCTCTTGTTCTTCCTCTCAAGCCTAGGTTTCTCCTCCTATTTATTCTCTCTACTTGCCAGCCTTGTCTATCCATCCCTCTACTCCCTAGCTATTGGCCATTTAGCTCTTTATTAGACCATTCAGGTGCCTTAGGCAAGCAAGGTGAAACAAATGCAACACATCTTTACAAAGTTAAACACACATCATTACATCATTAAACAAAGGCAGCATAAACAAAAGTAACACACATTTACACAGTTAAAGTAATATTCTGCAGCATAAACAGATGTAACACATCTTTGCCTAGTTAAAATAGTATTCTACAACATTCCCCCCAATTAGCACCCCGATTTTTTTCATCTTAGGGTAGATCTCCTCCTAGAGAAGAGGATAAATCTTGGGTGTCAAAGCAATTCATCATCAGATGACCTCCATCTCCTTGACCTGTGATGGGCTTAGGAGTGGGCATGTGTTGGTCTTCTGAATGATAACATACAAGTCTAGAACACAAGAGTTTTGCCCTTCCTATAGACAAAGCTTCATGAGAAGAAAGCCCCTTTCCTTCTGACTGCTCTCTCAAGAATGTACATGTGTGGCAGAGGACATGGCAATGATTTTGGCTTGTGAAGACACAAGCCAACAATGAAGTCAGAGTGATAGAGCAGAAAGAGCATCTTTCATAACAGCCTCCTGGAGCAACAGTTTCCTTCTTGACATATGGTCTATCACATGATGGGTATCAAATATGAAAAGGCTTTTAAAGTACTGATTCATTAACATTGAATAAAAGTAAGAATGCTTATACTTCATCAGTAACATAAGGGTTTATTGAAAAGAGACCTTGACAATCAGAGAAAGAACCAAAGGATTACAGAGTTGTTCCTCAGTATGTTCATTGGGGTTGGTTTAGGACCACTGAGGGTACCCAAATCCATGGACGCTGCTTAAGTCCTTTACACAACTATGATATGGTGTTTGCCTCTAACCTTTGAATCTCCTCCTGCATCCTTTAAACCATCATTATACTGTTAATTACAGAACCTAAACTAACTATAAGTGATATGTGATACAGTCTGTCATGATGTTTAGGGAATAATGGCAAGAAAAAATGTCTACATCATCAATACAGATGCAATTCTTTTTTGAGTAATTTTGATTGGCAGAGAAAATATCCACAGATAGAGACTCTCTGGATGTGATTGTATGTTGTGTTGTATGCCTGTAATCTCAGAACTCAGGAGTTAGAGGCAGAAAAGTCAAAAGTTCTAAGGTACCCTGAGCTGGCTAATGAATTCCAGGCTGATCTGGGCTACATAGGACCCTGTTTCAAAAAATAAAAAATAAAAATAGAACAGGTATGCATCTATAGGTATGCATTTCAATCCTTCTGAACATCTCTTGTTGGATTCTTACTAGAAAAATAACCATTTTTCCTCTCTGTGTGTATATGTGTATGGGTGTGTGTACAGGTACCTATACCTATGGATATGTGTGTGTATATGTGTGCCTATCAATGTGGGTGTGTATTTGTGTATAAGTACACATACTTATGGATGTGTTTGTGTGTGTGTGTGTGTGTGTGTGTGTGTGTGTGTGTGAAAGCCACAGGTAAACACTAAGTGTCTTCCTCAGTGACTCTTCACCTTAAGTTTTTGAGAGTTTCTCCTGAACATGGAGAGTTCTTATCTTTACCTTCACAAGCTGCTGGAATCACAGGTACTTGTGACTTTTATATATGGGCTAAGGGAGAATCAAACTAGGGTCTTCATACTTGTATGGCAAACACTTTACTGACTGAGCCATTTCCCCAGCCCCCAAATTAGCACTTTTGTAGTAAGCACAAAGCACAGTTTGAAATACAAGCTTTAATAAGAAATGTTTTATTCTGCTTATGACATTTCTGGATGCAAAATGCTATTACCATTGAATGCTTTAGGTCAATATGTTTGAGGCAGAAATTAATAGTGATGACAGAATATAGTCTTTTTTCTTTAAGGGAGATCACATGATTTCTATAATAAGGAACTAGGGTGACTCACTTCAAACTTCAGTCTTTATTGGCTGCAGTACACACCCACTGTCTTGTCTGACACTGCTTATTAATAAGGAAAATCTTTGAAAGTACCTATGCCTTAGCATAACTGCTTATCTGGCTGAGAGTTCATGAATAACTGATGACAATTTTGAGTTGTGATGTATTGATGGAACACACAGTGAAGCTAGCTTCATAACATCCTACTTCCAAAGGAGTTTTCTTAGTGTCTGATTACCTTCTGGGGAACCAAATGCCACTTCTATTTCATGAAATACGTTAATGAACGGCTAACCAAAAGTCATGTTTTCTAAGAAGATCCCAAGTGTCTTTTATATACTTGGCAGAAGCCTGTAATAAAGACTTTATGATACACATACCTTTCATTTTCAGAGCAATCATCGTTAGGCATGACTATCTGCCCAGTACCTGAAGACCAGAAAGCAAGGTCTGAAGCTACTATGAATGGCTGGCACTTTTAACATTAAGTATAATCACGTCCTTTGTCTGGTTCATCTTCAGATTTTCCAACCCATTCCATTTACTGTGTTTGTATAATGTGGCTGAAGAGGTGATTAGTTCCAGGGCTGAGGAAATGGATCAATTGATAAAGTACTTTCCATGTAAGCATAAATACCCAACTTTGACTCCACATAGAAAACCCATATTAAAAAAAAAAAAACCTTAAAAACCATGGGGGCAGTGCTCTGGGGGAAGCAAAGACAGTAGGATCCCTGGGGTTTAATGGCTGTCTAGTATAGCTGAATCAGTGAGCTTAAGGCTCAGTGAGAAGAACATTATGTCAAAAAAAAAGGTGAGGTCAGGGAGATGGCTTAGAGCAGTAGCTCTCAACCTTTCTGATGCTGTGACCATTTAGTACAGTTCCTTGTGTTGTGGAGACCCACAACCATAAAATTATTTTCGTTGTTACTTCATAACTCTAATTTTGCTACTGTTATGAATCATAATGTAAACATCTGTGTTTTCTGATGTTCTTACATGGCCCCTGTGAAAAGGTCCTTAGACCCCAAAGGGTTTAAGCCCCATGGGTTCAGAAACACTGGCTTAGGGGGTAAAAGCCCTTGTAACTCAAGCTTGAAGACCCATGTTTGATTCCTAGAACCCAGGATGGGAGGAGAGAACTGAATCCAAAATGTTGTCCTCTGAGTTCCACACACAGTAGCAACCATCTACAGTCACACACATGACCCTATCACATGCAGAGACAAATAGTAGTATATTATTTGTCAATATAATATACTAATTTAAAAAACAAGGTGGAAAGGCATTGAGGGAGACACCCACGTTGGTCTCTAGCCTACATATACACATCCATGGGTGAGCACGCTATACACACATCAATATGCACACGTGAACACATACACAAAAAGGTGGCTGGTTCCTATATTACAGTCCAAGCTATTTGGCATTTTGGAGTAGAGGGTGGAAGTTACTAGTAGGTATAAAACTCTCTAAAGAGTTGCAAGTGCCAAGCAAGATAGAGCTGAAGATGCTACTCATTTAAGGAAGACAGTTTTGTACTCGAAGCCAATTCCTCATTACTTTTTAAAAATAAGCTTTTTATTTTAGGATTGTGTTAGATTTACAGAAAAAAAATATTGAGATGATAGTAAGAGTTCCTAGATATTCCTTCCACACAGAACTTCCGCCCCTGCCTCACATCTCATATGAGTGTGGCATACTTGTCACAACTCATAAGAGCAAGGTTAATACTGTCCATTTTCACTAATTGAGGTTAGTACTGCACTCAGACTCTCTTGTGTGTTTGGACCTGGTCCCTTTTCTGTTCTATTATCCCACCCCAAACACCATACTAGGTCCTTTTGACTGTGAATTTTTCTCAGCTTCCATTTGCTTTGGATGACCCTAACAATTTTAAGGAACACTGATTGGCTATGTTATACAGTTTCCAATAACTGATGTTTTTCTGATGAGCACTTGGGCTGATGGATTTTAGTAAGGATGATCACACACATATGAATTCATTATTGTCATATGATATTTAGGACATATATGTATATTATGTATGTATAATTTCTCTGAGGACCTCTGGTCCCTCCTACTAGAGAATCAGATCAGACTGTAGTATGGTGCTATCTGTGCTCATTGCCTGTTGGTATTGGAGTATCACTAGTTCTAGATCTCAAAAAACAAAACAAAGAAGTGTGTGTGCCTAATACAGATTAGAGCATATATAAATCTATATTATATTAGATTTAAACTCATATAGACGTTTCTCCATCTCTAATCTATTACCTTGTGGATAATAACTTTTTTCTCCCCTTAATTATTTGGACCCCCCACTCCACTATCGCAAATTTGGCTCCAATGTGCTCATCTTTTAATTAATTATTCAATTGCAATGTCTGTAATGTCATTTATGGATTGATAACCCATATCTGTAGGATACATTTTTATAAAGTGTAGATTGGTGTTTAGGCTTACACGTTCTAGCCGCCGGAGCTCATCTTTCAGAAGATTGAGTCCATATTTGGTTGGCTCTGTTGTTTTGAGTCTGTAGTCATAGAGAAGGTTGTACAACAGAATTGCTCGATTTAAGACCTAAGTGAAAAAGCAACTGGGGAGGTTGTGGGGTCTTTGTGCTAAGGTTCCAGCACTTCCCAGTAACACAGGCTAATCACACTATCAAAGAGATAAAAAAATCCTTTGTGCTTTACTGGACTCTCCCCATCCTCTTCAACACTCCTCATGATCATTGATCACTGGCCAATTCACCATCTTGATCATTTTGCCTGTTCTAGAACATCATGTGATGGACTCTTTAATATACTGCCTTTTCAGACTGGCATCCCTGATTCAGCCCCTGGCTTTGCCAGCTCATCATTTCCCAACATTCAATAGTATTTTATATGTGGATTGCTTCCATCTGAGTATTCTTTGCAGAAGAGCTTGGTTTTGTTGAAGAACTGTGCAATAGTTAATATGTTTCTATGGGGATGTGAAATTTCATCAGTTCCATAAATACCAAGAGGCCCAAATGGTAGGTCATGGGGTAAGACTTCATTTTGACTTGTTTAAGGAAAGAAAAACTGCCAAATCACCATCACCACCCTTTGCATTCCTTCAGCCATGAAGCAACACTATTCTTGTTTCATATCCTCATCAACAATTGGTATTGCCTGTGACTTTGGATTTTTCAAATCAATGTGACAATTATTTTAATTAGAATTTTATTTGCTTATTTGACATGTTCCTGTATCTTGTAGTGAGATGCATGTTTAGATCTTTTAACCACTTTTACTATGTCTGTGTTGGACTTTTTGGTTGTTGTTTTTGCTTCAGGTGTTAAAGACTCTATTGTATTCTTTTTAAATGTTTTAATTTTTATTCTTGATATTTTCATACATATATAAAAGAAATATGATCATATATACATCCAGTCCAACCCAGCCCAACTTTCCTAATATCCATCTTAACATGTCACCCTCATAATGTCTGATTTTCATTTTATAACCCACTAAGTCCAGTTAGTGCCGACCATATGTGCATGGGGTGGGCCCTTCTCTTGAAACATGGGAACCCTACAAATGACAGCATTTCCTCCTAAAGAGTGATTATTCCTCACCCCACAGCAATCAACTGCCAATATCTCCTCAATCAGGGGTGGGATCTGGAGGTGATCTGCTCCATGTAAGCTGTAATTTTGGCTGTCCAGATCTTGTGCAGGTCTTAGGAAGGCAACAACAGACATTGTTAGTACATGAGTGCCCCAGCCATGCTATATCTAGAAAGCAGTGTTCCATGGCACTGCCTATCTTGCCCTATCTTCTGAACCTTTATATACATTTGGCCTCCTTTTACAGGATGTTCCTTGAGCCTTGAAGCACAAGGTTTGACATAGATGGACCATTTGGGGCTACATTTTCAGTCACTTTTTTTCCCTCAGCATTTTGATCAGTGTTGTATATCTTTGTTGACTGCTGCCCCCTGAAAAAGAAAGCTCTATGACCAAGGTTACAAGCAGCCCAAGTCTAAGGATATCAGCATAAATATTTAGAGGGCACCCTTATAGCATAATCATTTAGCAAAATAACAATAATACATTCTTCCTTAAGGCTTATCACCATCCCGGCCATGGACTTTAAATGAGAGTTATAGTACCAAGCATGAAATTCCCTCCTGTGGAGCGGGCCCCAAATTTAATCAGACAGTCTTTAGTTACCTCCATAGCAATTGAACCACTGTTGCATCTGTGGGCACATCCTGCCTGAAAGTCATTATTACAGCATACAGAGTCCTGTACTGGGTGAGACCATTGGTGTATCTCTCTCCCAGAAGCTTGCATAGCACCCTCCTGCGCTATGAAATTTGGCCAACAGGAAGTTCCCTAGTGGGTTTTCTATTGGTTTCTCTATGTCCCGAAGCCAAAGTGTGCGATATCTTCAGCAATAAGATCTTACCATGCACTTATGGATGGTAACCAAGGGCAGTAGCAATAGCCCGAGATATTTTGGAGATCTCTATGGCCGCTCTGATCAATAACTAATAGGAAGGTATCACACGAATTGTACTGGGATTTTCTTCTAATAATTCTTATAGTCTTGGAGCAACTTTATTCAATTATGCAGGGTAATGCTATTTAAAGTAGTAATTTGAAACTATCTTACCAACTAGTGGGTTTCCATCAGATTTTTTCCCATATTTTCACAGTTTCGTTTGACCCACCCAGAATCTCCTCCTCCCTGTAACCCCTGACCCCATCCCTGGTTAATCATCTAACCAGAAGTATCTTTCTTCTTTCATGACATATATATTCTACTATTCTTCCAATTGTTTTCCCAATTGCATTGTGAGATAGTAGATTCCCAAATGGCTTTTCATAACCCCTTCCTTTGTTTTAGCCTTTTATTTCTAATTCCTGTGCCTCTCCCTACATAAACCTTTCCACCCCCAGGCTTCAGGATCCCTTCTTCCATTTTTCCTGTAATCTACTTTCCCCTCCCTTAATGTGTCTCTCAAAGGTCCATCTTCTAGTTTCCTGCCTTCCACATGTGCTCTGAGTTAAGCACATAAAACACGGGATTTAAACATAGGATCTGCATATGAGAAAACCTCACTCTGAACAAATTTTTCCAGTTTATTCCATTTGACCGCAAATTTCTTAACTTCCTTTTTCATTATGGATAAATAGTATCTCAGTGTGTATTTACACTTCATTTTCTTTATCCATTCATATGTTTATGAACATCCAGGTTGATTCCATTACTGTCATTGTGAATAGAACAGCAATGAACATGGTGCAACTGTCTCTAGAGTAGGATATAGTCTTTGGGGTATATACCCAGGAGTGGTATAGCTTATACTTTAGCTTTGAATTGTTGATTCCTTATATGAATGCACAAGCAAACCTTGCAGTGAAATTAATGATTAACCATTACATAAATCATGGTGATTGCATGCTGGTGATATATTGATTACATATCTTAGCAGAAGAGAAATAGACATTGCCACCCACTCATAAACTAGTTCATTCAGAAGATTATAACATTCTAAAATAAGATACACAAACACTAACCTACAATATACAGGAAATTAATAGCAAGTAACAGTACGATAACACAGACAAGTAAATACATCTTCAGTGAAATTCAGTGACTATAAACAGAGGCAGTGCAAAATCCTTCACTGTGGAAGAAATAGCACAGAAAGTTGGATTTCATTTAAGCTGAGTCCTATCCATTCACTCAAGGCAGATGGTATGTGCACTGTATGCAAAGCATTGTGATAAAACAGGGGAGGTGGTTAAAAGATGGAAAGAAATGACCTTGAATTTTGTTTTACTAAATGTACTCAGAAGAAGTTCAATTCAAGTCATAGTAATTATTTAGAATTTGCTTGTGGAGGAGGTAGTTTGTTTTACAAATAGGGAAAACATTAGAAGTGCTGAAGGTAAAAATCACTGGAGCAGATGGTTTTGGGGGCATGAATAACTGGAATAGGAACATGATGTCAGAGGGCGCCTCACTTGCCAAATGACTTCAAGAGGTTAGAGAGCTGCCTACACAGGTGTCTGGATGAAGAGGGAATGTCTAGAGCCAAGATCCTGATTTGGTTCATTTGAGCTACTCTCAAAAGCCACCACAGACTGAATGGCTTAAGCAAAAGGTAATTATCTGTCACAGTTGTGGAGAACTTGTGGATGCCTGAATTCTGGGCACTAGAAGGATTAGATTTGGGGGAAGTAAACAATTTACGATGGAAGTCTTCAGTTTCAGAGAGGGAGGGTGGGGTGGGTGAATGGAGCTTTCTCATATCCTTGTAAGAGCCCTGGTCCATTATAAAGGTTCTACCCTCAGGGTTTCTCTCTAGCCTAAGGTCTAGAGTCCAAAGGTCTAAAGTCCAGATTAGGTTTCCCATGAACCAGGGGAAAGAGGCATAAACATTCCCTGTACTCTAAGTCACCAGTGGAGCATTCTGGGGAACCATGGAATGGCCATAATGCAGCAGAAGGCAATACATCTACAGGAGAGTGTATACAAATTAATAAGTGAGATGAGCAAGACTTATGTCAAATTGACACTCAAATTGACACTAGAATTATCTGAAAGGAGGGAACCTCAATTGAGAAAATGCCTTTCTAAGTTTCAACGGTAGGGCATTTTCTTAATTAGTGATTGATGTGGGAAGACCCAGCCCACTGTGGGTGGTAGCATCCCTGGATGGTCCTGGTTTCTACAAGAAAGAAGTCTGAGCAAGCCAGTAAGTAGCACCCCTCTAAGGCCTCTACATGAGCTTCTGCCTCCAGATTCACTGCCCTGTTTGAGTTCCTTCTATGATGATCAGCAATATGGAAGTGTAAGCCAAATAAACCCTTTCCTCCACAAATTGCCTTTTAGTCATGGTGTTTTATCACAGCAATAGAAACCAAAACTAAGACAGCAAGGTAGCAAGGGGCATGCAGAATCTTCCTTGCTGTTTTAAGGGTGTTGGTCTTTTCTTGAGGAAAGATGGTGTCACAAGAGAATTGTGAGCAGATTGGAACAGAATTCAGTGAGGTCCCATCATGTAAGCTATGTGGAGAGATTAAGGAAGAATCTCTTCCCCCTGACTCCTGAACAGGCCCCATGCTCTCCACATACCTGTTCCCTGAAATGCTGTGGCTTGCTAGGTGATACTGGTTGCTGGATCATTTTTTTCTCCTTCATCAACAAGAGAGTCAGAGGAGTGGCGTGACAGAAGAGTTTTCAGAAAGTGTGGAGTACTTGGCAGGCAAAGTGTGAGGAAGTCGGTAACCCATTAAGTCATTCATCCCATGATGGTTACAACCTAGCAGAATAAAATGTGGTCTTAAGTATTTTTTCATCTATTTAATGATAGAAATCAATAAGTGAGGCATTGTTGGAAGAAAGAAATAACACTTTCTGTAAGTGATGCTTAAGGCATTTGATCTTATAAGGCTGTTGGATTGGTCCATATGGCAATTAGGGGTGGAAGAAAAGGTCACTTAATGTAGAAGAAACAGTATGGACAATAAGTCCCAAGAGTTTCCTCCTAAGACAGGGGTAGATACAGTACTGCAGACAGCATATTATGCACAAACAAATTATGCATGAGTTTTCTCAGGGGACTAGCCAGGCTGCTGCACAATAATGGGTAATTGCCTTAGCAAATGTATCCTCCTATTGCCTATGCACCCCAACAGACACTTAAAGGAAGAGGTATTGAGAACAAACGTCAATTCAAAACACATTATTTTTATGAACATGGTTGTTGGGTTTGATTCTTAGGCATCACCCATTTATTAGGAGGCCTATGGAGATGTTGCTAAGAAGTAGAGAAATTTCCACTTCCTACTGGATGCTGAATTATGAGTATAAGTGTTGGTCCAAATTTGAAAAAACAGACACCCCAGGCACTTAAGGAAAAGTATCTCTTCTGTGTCAAAGAGCTAAGTGATTAAAATGCCTGAAGTCACTCCTTTAAAGACAGTTCTCTCAGCTTTCTTTCTTTCTTTCTTTCTTTCTTTCTTTCTTTCTTTCTTTCTTCTTCTTTTTTTTTTACCTCCAGGATGTTGTATACCAAAGACATACATTTAACTTAAAAAATACCATTTTATTCTTTAATTTTTCTAGGTATTCTATTGAAATTCTACACCGTTGTGTTTGGGCCAGTTTATATTCAACATACACAATATTTTAAAAGTTTGACTTTAGGATTTGATGTTAGAATGTTTCTAGAGTCCCCCCTTTTCTTCTATTGGAAAGAGTAGCATGACAGTGTAAGATTCATAATTGTTTCTTAATATGCATTTAAGTAGAACCTTAAATAGAAAAAAATACCATCATAACACAATGAGCTAAGAGATATGTAGGAGAGGTCAACCTCACATGAAGCTTACTTACACCATCATTTCCACACCCAAAACAGGAATTTCAAAGCTAATTGTACCAGCGTTTCAGATATGTCAGAGCAAAGCTATGGAAAACATCCACAATCAGAATCAATTGTCTGTTCACAGTGGGAGTCCTCAGGTTTCTGTCTATCTTGGCTCCACTGAGCAGGTCAAAAGGAAAGATCTCCACATACTGACACTGGAGAACTGGTTAGAAGTCTGACTGGTAAGGATTATGTATTGGACACTTTATCCCCAATTTCAGGTGATGATGGGCTTTAGATGTGGGACCACTGGGAGGTAATTAGAGTTAGATGAGTTCAGGGGCATGAGGCCTCCATAAGATTATTGGTTTTGTA